GAGGGGCGCCTACCGCTCACTGAAGCCAAGGGCTACGGCGCCTGTCACTCGCCGCGCCCGCTTCCGAGGTCCTCAGCGACCAGCAGGCATCGAAGTCGGGGGCGCCCTGTCACGCTCCCTAGCAGCTTCGACCAACAAGGTGTTCCAACTGTCAATTGGTATCGCTCACCAGTACGTTTCTCCAATCAATTAATAATTCAGCCAATTCACGCACTAAGGGGTTTCAACAGTCAATCGGTGCACAACAGTGCGTTTCAACAGTCAATAGCCACCCCACGCAATGGTGAGTTTTTAGCAGTCAACTAGGAACAACAACTAGGCCACCACAATAAGTTTCACAATCAACTTTGGATGTGTCTCTCACCTTCGCTGTTCCCTCTCTCTCAGTCTCTCTCTCTCCCTCTCTTCCTCTCTCTCTCTCTCCCTCTCTTTTTTTCTCTCTCTCTCTCTCTTTCTCCCGTGGTTCTCTGTAGTTGTTCTCTCAATCTCTCTCTCGCCCGTTGTTCCTTCTATCTCTCTCTTCCCCACTGTCCTCTCTATCTCTCTCTCTTTCCCTACGCTGTCAGTCTCCCCACTCTCTCTCTCTCTCTGTACTCCCTTTCACTCTACTCCCTCTCTCTGGGTTCACAGTCCCAATCCCGTCTCCRCATGCATGCTCTCCCGTTATCCCGTCACACCTGCCCACCGATAACGTCCCTGGCCGTACTGAATCAACAGTCCCTCCTCTCGGGGGAAAATCCGATCGAACAGCAGACTACCAATCACAAGCCAGAGGGCCTTCCCAAGGTAAACAAGCCCCCCTTTTTGGGGGTAAAGCTGTTGGGGTGTCGGCTTATTGTAGTTACCGAACACGGTCTTTCCACTAGAACCGGCCAATTAAGTGGTGACTTTTACTTTCACTGACCTCACAGTATTTGGGGAACAGGCATTTCAATCTGTCGCCCTTTTATGAGAAAGTCGACAATAATTTAAACGACCCCCCCGCTTTTTTTTGTGTATTAGAATACCGGCTCCGAGTGTTCCTGAAGACTGTTTTGATTGTCATTCATCCTTAAAAGCAACAGACTCGTAATCTGGAGAGTCTCTCTCAGAAATAATTTAATTAACAAAGAGTTTTTTTGTCCAGTCAGCCGACACAAGAATTCTAGTGGATTGCCCGTGGTTGATTGTCGATCATCGGAAAGGGGACAGCAGATGCATAGTCTGCAGAGATCTCTCAAAAATTTGAGTAAATTAATTCTCGAAAGTACTCTAGTCTCAGTAGACTAGCCTGGATTGATTGCAGATCATCAAAGTAAGGCGCAAGATGGATTCGCAGGAATGTTTTTCGCAGAACTGATAAATTTAACACTCGAAGATGCTAGAGTCTCAGTAGACGGCCTCGATTGATCATTGCTCATCAGCGGAAAGCCCAAGACGCATTGCCTAAAATGTTTTCTCAATGATAATTATATTCATAAAGTCTTTCTCACCCGGTCATTCGGCGTGTCACAGCCCTTCCTTCTACTCTCTTTCTCTGTATCCCTCACTCACTCCTGACCCACGTTCTTTACTACCCGCGAACTCACTTTTCCCACTCGAACTTTGTGGGCCCACAGCCATTCGCGAGCCAACATACCCGATCGCATCAGTTACTCTCTTGAACAGGAGCAGTGATTACCTTCCTTTCTTGTAGACAGCCAGTGTCATGAGTCTACCTCTGTCRTTAGTGGCTGGCTCGCCTGCTGGAGTTACTGCTGGTTGTGTCATGAGCCTACCTCTGTTGTTAGTGACTGGCTCGCYTGCTAGAGTTACTGCTGATTCTGYCGTTTATCAGTAAAAGCTAACCCCACACTCAATCGGTCGCGGTCAGAATAGCTGGCACAGTATCCGGTCATGCAGCTCTCATCCGGTACAATCCTCCGTGCACTGCTCACACTATACACACCGTTCTTCCTTGGTGGCTGCTCCCAGTAGCGGGGATTCCATGCCCCTCAGCCGATTGCAACAGGTCTGCCGCGTCCCAGTCCGAACCACGATCGCAGCGCCCACTTTCGCCTGGGACCACACTCTCTTCTCTCTCCCTGGGATGGCTACGAAGCCCCACTACCTTCCGCAACGCGCACCATCTGCCCCACCGCTCAAGCGGGCTTCTCGYCCGATTGCCCTTGAGCAGCGCARCGTTCTTCCGCTCCATGCACGAGGCTCCTCTCGTGTTTTTCCTCCTCTCTTTGATGACTTCCATAACCGCTTCCCCACCGCGGTGGCGGGGGCGGGGGACACCTTGCACGTCTTTCCCAATCCCTGYCTGTCCACTGTCCCCGCCTGCATACCGCGCTGGGCACACCGTGCACACTCCTCCTGCTCTCTAGTCCCCTTTCCCTTTATGGTTTTCCCGCACAGSTGAACGTGGTCTTTCCCCCTCCCAGGTCCAATCCGTAGGCCTTAGTAGGCTGAAGATAAAAGYAGGGCCAGGCCCAGCGCTGGTCCAATGGAACCCATATACAGTCTCAGCGGGACCTGCAACTGAAACCTGCTGTAAAAAGAAAGCCAGATACTTCCGTATGGCAGGCACTCGTACCAAACCTGTCACTTTTGCGCTTCAAAGCCAACCACGGTACTTAAAAGCAATTGTATTATACCAGTTACCAACACAAAAGCCGAACCGCGGTCTAGCTGTTGCTCCCAACACCCAGTTACCATGCTTGTTCCATATCTGTCCCGGATCAGAGTGTCGGGCCGAACCAGAAATAGCCACTTGACAATTCTGAGCTGTCAACACCGAACTGAGAATAAATCACCGCGAACCTGAAAGTGGTGTAGTGATGTGTATCATACCGATGCTAGATACCGTAGAAAACTGAAAAACCAGGGTAGTACCGAACCTATTCCGGACCTGAAGCAAACTGCTGCCAAGGTTCCAAACCTGGAAAAACTGTCGTAGTGGCCCCGGTCCTGAGAATAAATCACCGCAGCTGTCCCGAACCTGAAAATAAGTCACCTTAGTGAAACAGCTGTCACCGGGCCTATACCGTACCTGAAGCACATCAGACACCGTAGGACGTAGCCTCTCCGTAACTACCCCCGTATCCGTACCGAACCAAACACCATAGTTGACCCAAGGCAGCACCTGTCCATGCGACCCCCGCTCTCAGAACATCCCAACTGCGATAATGTTAGTAATCAAGCAAACCAGCGAAAACGACGCAGGGAGCCTCGGCCATCGGCAGTAGTGGAAACTGATAAATTCCGGGAAAAATGCTCAATCCGGGGTCAGGCTGATGGCGGGTAATCAAGGCAAAATTAGCCCAATCTCCCAATAGTCATGGGCTCCCCTCCCTTATATCATTTTTAATCATTCTCCCCTTTCCTTAATTCTGTTGTCGGAAATAGTAAATTAATCGTAAGTTCCATAAAATTCAATCCCGGGAAAGTTTAAATAAATGACCGAATTCCTTGTTTCTCTTTTACAATTTTTAATCTTTTTCTATGTTTTTAATTTAATTGTCGGGAAAATAAAATAACAACGGTATTCCCCCTAGAATTAAATGTTGTGAAAAAATAAAGAAATTAGGGGATATTATGTTTTTCCCTTCTCCCCTACTGGTCTTAACCCCTCTTCCCATCTTCAATTACGGTACTAAAATAGACAAAAATTTGAGGCCGCATTTCGCCCCGGTCGTATGCTATAAAACGTGGCGGCGAGGTCAACTCCCTTGATGCCTCTCCGCGGCAGGTATATCCGGGTCTAACCCTCTGAACGGTCGGAAATGACAGTCCCTAGACATGCCGAGTCCGGTAACCCATCTCGCCATCTCTGAGGGTTACTCATAAAGTTCAGTGCGTCCAAAATCAGGGGTGCCCTGGGTTCCCCTAATTTTTGGCTGCCTGGTCATACGAGACTACCATCAAAACACAGATCCGTCCCTGAGCCTAAATCCCAAAACTGCGGTTCTCAGGCGGCGCACTACTAGTGGCCGCCTGACAACGTTCCTAGTCCTGATGTCGCAAGGTCATACAGCACACCATGTTAGACCAAAGACGATAACTGCACATACGCGACATTCAGGTGGAAGGTGTACGGTCCTCCTCTGGAGATACCGCAGGCGACGAGGAAGGAGTAAACACAAAGCCCTCATAGGCCACCTTAGCTCTGGCTTCAATGATAGATTCAATCGTCGGACCCTTAGTAGTATAGGTCAAATTCTCCTGCCGACAAATCGTCTTCAACTGCTCCTTAGTCTTCGGAGTGAGGAGTCGTCGCTGCGCCACCACGTAGGCAAGAATCCCCTCTGGCCCACTACCTGCGGCGATTTTTGTCTTTGCACGCCCCTCCCCCCTCCTGGAAGATTCGACGTGCCCTGGTGCATCATCAGTTGATCCCTCTCTCCCAAATACCGGCTGCCTAAAAGGCCGGCGCGCTTCTCCTTCCAGCGGCATCTTCCCTTTCCGCTTTCTTTCGCGAAGCTCATAAAGCTTAGCGATCTCATCCTCGATATCTTCCAACCCTTTATCAGCATAATCATCAAGAACCCTGTCTCGTGGCACAGTCCGCGGAGTCCGAAGGATACGAGCACGACACTCCTCATTCCTTGCTTCCTCCCTTGCCGCCAAGTATTGACGCCCAATCTTCGACATTACACGCGCTTCCAACGCCTCTGAATTTCTCTCAATTTCTTGCCTGATCATTTCGTCCATCTTCTTCCTATCCTCTAATTCCCTCCTTCGTAGCTGCTCCTCCTCCTTCTTACTAATCATCTGTCTCAGGAACTCGCGTTCCTCAGAGGACTCCTCCGGCTGACGTCGTGGCGCCCAATAACGCGGTGCGAAAGACGGATTCGTAGAATTACCACCTTGACCACCTGGAGTACTGCGCGCAGAAGGGCATTCCCTCGCAAAGTGCCCTTCCCCTCCGCCGTTGAAACATTTACCCATATTAGCATCCATACCGGTCCAAAATGATATAGCCACAACCAAACTAAGGAAAGCTTAATCAGGAAACGTCGGTTGAGTCAGCTGGAAAGAACACCTGGTACAAGACTATTGCTCCAAAAAGAAAAGCTAACCAGGAAAACGTCGGTCGAGTCAGCTAGAAAGGTAAACCCGTGGAACAAGACATTCGTACCAAAAAACCTAATTCTGACGAAAAACTACCTTGATCAACCCTGCCTCATCATCGTACAGAACAACGATCCTAATAAGGACATCGGGTTCAGTGATAACCAAAGCACAGCGAAGTACAACACGCTCCATGTCTAAGTGTACACACTATCAGAAGTGCCTAACTAACATAAGGATGTCGAAGACATGGCCACCTACCCAGTGTTTAATCGCACTAGTGGTTGTCACGCAGATCGGAAAAGGAAAAAATTGCCCGGCAAGACAGACTGAGCATGAGAACAGAGTCAAGGAAGATACACCAATATTCATCCACTCCGTTGCGCACACCATTAAGAAAACCAAATCAATGGCGATAGTTTCCAAAGTTCCAAAAAACAAATCATCCACACCTGAAGCTTGATGGGGAAACTATTTGCAGAATACTCGTTAAAAACCTCCTGAATAGAACGCGTCACTGATCCACTGCCTGTGGAACTGCCAATGTGTTGCGGACCTGGTCTCTGTGGACAAAAAAAATAGAGAAAGCAAAAAAGCATGATTATATATGTTATGCTTGGAAGGGAACCCTGTGAGTTGCCACAACAATACACCAGAGAACCCTCTAATGATAATTTAAAACCCAATTGAAACAAAAAGATCATGTATTGTGCAGAAAAACAACCATGCTCTTATGAGAAGGTGTATACAAGAAGGAAGAAAAAAAATCAAAAGATGCACTATTTGCGAACGACGAGCAGGTAAATTAGGCCAAATAAAGGTTGAGAGGCTATTCCTTAACACGCAGTTCGAAACCTGATCCACCAACCCTATCCCCGCTGAGGGCTGCCAAGTTCCTAACCGCTGAGGGCTGCTCAACACAATCCACACCGACTCTAAAGGATAATACAGGGTTTAGGGTTTTAGCAGAGTAAGCCATGAGCAGAATGGGCAGGATGCTTCAGACCCGGATGTAGAAACTGCTTACGGAGATTGCAGGAATAAATCAGGGGTGAAGAGGTATACATTGCATTTGCAGGTCCACAAACATCCTCGAAAGGCTCTTCCAATTCAGTCATACATCAGTCATATACTGCAACCTATGTACTCAGGGATGCTGGACCCACTTTCCAGCAGGCGATGCTCCGCACCAATAGATGGAGCAGCCAGCAGGGGGCCTACTAGGGGAGGATGCTCATATCGCCCCCCGTAGCAGTCATGGACGAGCCTTTTTTTTTTTTTTTTTTAAGAGACGAAATTCAGGACCCAAGAGTTTAGGACTTAAAGAGGACACCCATGTTTACTGCTCACAAAGGGCAAGGAGCAGTTCGAAAGGATATGTTTACTCCTCACAAGAGGCGAGGAAAGTTAGGGTTTAGGGTTTAAGGAACACTTGGTGGTACCTGTAGTACAGGCAACATTGCAATTCGAGGATTGTTTTATCGAAGGTTTGCATAGTCAGCCCGCCATTATAGCGGTTTTTTAAGTTCCTTTTTTTTTTTTTTTTTTGAGTGTTGCATCCTCTGCTACAACAGTTCCACATGTTGCACCCGCTGTACCTAACACAGCAGGTGCAGCCACTGCAGAACATCTCAATTGCCTCACTATTTTTTTCCTCCTGTTTCATCCATCCTCCATCAACAAACATTCGGGCTCCTTCTTCCATCGTCCATATGTCGTTGGGCCATCTCTTTGGCGGCATTTTTCCCTATCTCACCTCTTCCTTCCGTCCTCCCCCATCACGCCTCCCACCTCTCTCCTCGTACATCCTTCTGCCATCTCAACATCACTTGTGAATTGTCTTTTTGTTTTCATCCGGCGACCTCCTTCGTCGCACAACCCACTTCACTCCTCGTACCTTGTTCTCCCATTCTGAGGTCCCGTGCCACCTTTCGCACAACTCCGCGCTTTCTTCTTCTGTTCTTCATCGCACAATCCACACCTGGTCGTTCCAATCTTTCCTTACTATCTTGCGTTTTATATTACATTAATAAAAACCAAATTATTCCCATTTTTTTCTATACTAATAATGGGTGTCTTTTTTTCTATACTAATAATGAGTGATCCAGGGCCATGGGAGGAATTGCACAATGCAAAGGAGAGGGTATCAACTCACCGGTGCAGACATTTTGCTTGAACGACATGTATCATACGATGTAATAAACACTCGTTTCATCGCTTCAAAATCTTCAACATGTGAAATACAGAAAATATTGCTTTTACTTCCATATGTTACATGACTTTCCGTCGGGCAAGTAGGTTTTAAAAATGAACATAATCCGAGACAAACTGCCCACGACATCTGGACTCAAACAAATAGGTTTTAAAAATGAACTTACATAATAACATAATCCAAGACAAACTGGTTCAAACATGACAACATACCGTCAACACAGGTGTACCAAAACGACCTGTTGGCTTTAGAGGTGAGGAAAGACCCTGTTTTGTTGGAAATGGCAGTCTCATCAACTGCTTCCGCTTGTAAACCAAAAGATCAATGAACAATTTTGTTCCTCTCCGTGTCTCAACAAAAAGTTCATCAAAAGCTCGAAACTTTGCTCTGTGTTGCTCAATGTGTTGACAAATCTGTCACCAGGATTGAAGAAAAGAACAATAAACAAACAAACATAACAGAGGGATTCAATAAAGAGATATTCGTTAGTCCAGATTTACTGTTGCATACTCCAATGAGTATGGGCAGAACCAAGAATCAACCAATGTAGGATGAGTATAGATGCAACGGAAGTCTGATAAACGGACTGACTCACATAGCATCACTCCACACACATTCAATCGTGAGATGGTGGGGTCTGAGCCATACATAGAAGATGCTCAGCCCCGTACACACATACACAGATGAATGGGGGAGGAGAGACGAAGAGGTGGGGGGAGGTAGACAGCACCGAAAGTCACCGAGGTAGAATCTGATAGGTCACCGATATGGTAGTCCAAAATGTCGTCCAACAAGATCAAAATGTCGAGGACCATAGGTCACCAATGTCGGGGATACAGAGTCCAAATGTAACCGGTGTCTGAACTGTGATGTCGCCTAGTATCAACCCCAACGATCTCCAAGTCTCCAATCTGGTAAGTACCACAGTCTCATATCACCGAAGTCCAACTCTGATCTCTGTCCAACTAGCACAAGTCTCTAGTCTGAAGAAGAAGAAGAAGAAGAAGAAGAAGAAGAAGAAGAAGAAGAAGAAGATGAATAAGAAGAAGGAGGAGGAGGAGGAGGAGGAGAGAGAGAGAGAGAGAGCTGACGAGGGAGGGAGGAGAGGTCCTCCGGCTCCCAGGTACCTCAGGCGGCAATGGCCGCCGTGCTGGCTCAGTCGCCCTGCTGCTGCTCCGCTTGCTGCTGCGCTAATGCTGCGCTGCCGCTGCTGCTCCTTTCTCGCTCCTGCGCTAAACTTAGCGCATCAACACAGCGCTCTGGCGCTGACCATACCGTACCGGTATAGTGCCGGTAGGTCGATGCCTCATAGTGAGGCTGTACCGGTACTTTATACCGGTGGGGCAGAGGCCGGCCTCAATGCTGCGAGGCCTGGCCATGCCCTGAACCGTCCAGATGGACGGTTCAGCCCCAACCGGCGGGCGGCAGCCTCAAGATCGCCGCCAGGCCCAAACGATAATGCCGTTTGGGCCTGCCCGTTGGGTACTGGTCCAAGATCAGGCCCTGAGGGCCTGTACTATCCCAAGGTCGGGCCTTTAGGCCCTGATGTGTCCCTCCGACCCTAAGTCGGGTCCGGTAGGGCCCGTGTGCGTCGAAGATGGAACATTTACATTGTATAAAACATATAAATAATGCTGACTGTCATATTGCATTGGTTACTACTATATCCAACTACTGATTCCGCGTGAAAAATCTTTTTTCTTCTGTTGAAACTTGAAAGGTATAATTTGAAAACAAAAACTCTTCTGCAAGAAAGCACAGAAAGGGAAAGAAGTTTTTCGAAAAACAAAACTTTCACAGCAGAAAGAATGTACATGATCAAAGTATATGGGATCGCTGGTGGGAATCTCTCACAATTGTTTTCTGATGAGTCCTAAATTCAGTCTGTATATGGCACACTGGACCCGTTTTCCAGCTGGCGATGCTCCCCACCAATAGATGGAGCATCTCCCAGGTGCTAATGGTGTCTGCTCTTATCAACACCGCTTACACTGGTGGGGGCGTTGTTTCAAAAACCGAATTGCAAATGTACAACAACATGGCAAAAGACTCATGATTTGTGACCCAAGTCAATATGTAAGAGAATGAAGATTGTAAAAGAGTCGTCATCACATTTACCTTTGACACAAAAGGTAGCACTTGTTGATTATTTTCAAATCGCAAGCCAGGCGCATTTATCAGCAGATGTCTGGAGAGTTTATCCTCCCTTGTCGAGTCAGTTTCCAGTATCCAAAGACTCTGCTGATCAACATCAGGAAACTCTGAAGCTAGAAGAGTCGAAGTGACCATCAACAAGGTGTCAACCATCGTATCACCCTTTTTTTTTTGTTGAGATCTGTTGAGAACTCGAGATCAAAATACAAGTGAGACTCTGTGTTCTGTAGCAGCAAGGCAGTTCACAGTAATCAGCAAGTAAAGGAGTGAGAACAAGAGAGACAAATGAATTCACAACAACCACAAACTTGTTAGCTCACAAATTATATCTGACCATGAAAATATTTTTTTATCATGTCTCGAGCGTGGATTCTTTTAGCACTCAAGATATCTAGAGACAAGATTCTTTCAAAAGCAGCTATCTACTGTACATCCTATGAAAGAGCAAAGCAATGAATCTTTCAAAGCAAAATCAATGCCCGAATATCCCCCTTACTGATAGCATCATAGGAAATCATCTTTGATTACCTTCACATCGTATACTACTTGGCTGGACAGTCGGTTATGGCGGCAACATCCAGGGCTAGCTCGGATGTTTAGACGACAATGCAAAGTTTTCAGAGCACAACGCAAAGTTTTCTTGAAGTTGAGAGGCGCAAACTTTTCTTGAATCCATCCGGTTTGGCTGGACATTCAGTTGCGGCAACACCTTTGATCACCGCGAACCCTACATGAGTGTCCAGACTCTTCCTCACTTCATGACCCCATCCAGAGGCCTTGCAGATGCATTGCCAACCAAGGAGATGAACATGTTCTCGCCTGTAGCCAAGGTAAGCCTTCCTCTTCACTGTTTTCGTCCTTCTTACTCCTTCTTCCCCATTCTTTCCCTTTATTCTTCCTTCTTTCTTCTTCCTTCCTTCCTTCATCCTCCTTCCTTCTTCCTCCTTCCTTCTTCCTCCTTCCTTCTTCCTCCTTCCTTGTTGCTCCTTCCTTGTTTCTCCTTCCTTGTCCGTCCTTCCTTCTTCCTCAATACTTCTCCACCATAGGCATGTCTTCCTCTATGTCCGCCTTGGCTTCCTCCACCATAGCCGAGGTGGGAACCAGCTCCACCTTCTTCCTCCATGCTTCCACCTACTGGAAGAATGAGACTAAATCCATTACTACCTCTCTTGATATACCTGCCAGTGGACTCCTCTGCGGTGCCTCTCTAGCTACCCAGTCTCTGAGCCTACTGGTTCCGTTCCCCGTTTTGGCAGGAACATCGTTGCAGTCTGGTATCACCCCCTTTGCATGCTCTAGACCTACACCTACCGGACTGGTACACCCCTAAGTTTAGTAGACCTCTAGAATACCCCAACCTTTGCAAAGGTAGGACCTTTTTGTCCTTTTTTGGTAGATACCCACCGCTACTTGATTTTTGGCCTATGTGGGACTCCTTTTCACCACTCCACTGCTGCACACCCAAACACGCACACCACAGGCTAGTAGCAAGCCAGCGGGCTATTCCAATGTACAGGCCATCATCACCAGCTCATGCAGACACACATGATTTCTTAGATGGCCGGGTAAGGACATTAGCGACAGAGATATCAACAAGCACTCGGACAAGACACGCACGTAGACGGGATTTGAGCAAACACACAGAACAGTGTCAAAAGCTCATAAATTACAGGTATGACAGTCTGCAATTTTGGTGGTTATCACAACACACTGCAAGGAATATGAGTGATGGTGATAGACAGAAATCCAAATTGCAAAATCACGATGTAGTCTAGATATTCATGCACTGAGCAGAGTGCACAATGCCCCAAGATACCATCCAAATAAGACCAATACAATGAACTCAAATGTCAATGCCGAGACTCTCTGGCCAGACCAACATAGTATCCAATGTGAATCCTACTGTTTGGTCCCCAGCGCCCAACCTACAGCAGTCAGCCTATCTAGGCTATCTACGTCCATGCAACAAGATCACATCGAAGTTGAAGACCAATGTACATCCTGCCCGAAGACCACCATCGCCATCATCATGCCCACACCCAGCAACCCGGGTATGGCCATCGTGTGCCTACTGCCTCAGCAGTGCCCCTCTCTCACCTCTGCACCATGTGCGCTTCTGCCCCGCACCGTTAGCGCAGCTGCTCATGCGCTAATGCAGCAGTGTGGCCGCATTGCACACTCAGGCCAGAATGCTCTCCCCCTGGTCGCTCACTTTCCTTTATGGAAAGTGAGTCCTGCCGCTGGCTGGACTCGGGGCGTGTAGGGGCCCAATAGCTTTAGGTTGGTCCAAAGTGTCTGCGCCGGGGCCCAGTTTCAGATACTGGCCCAGACCCCGTAAAGTTAGGCATGTCCAGGTAGCCCACGAGGCTCGAAGTGTTCGACATGATCTAATTGGCTTATGGCATGTGTGTGATGCTCGAGCTGCTTTCTCATTGGTTCGTGGCCGTAACGTGACTTGTTGGCCTCTGGATGCGTGTGCCCAGGGCCTCAACTGAATGAGCCCTGGGCTCAACTGTACGATGTAGCTGCTGCTTCTGGATTGAGGCAGGGAAGGTTCACGTTGCTCTGTAACCAGCTAGCGTGCTCCAACTGTCTGGTACCCCACATATGAAAAATGGCGAAAATAGGAATCACGTGGATATGCAGATCCGCCTTCACTTAGGGCGGGCACGAGGCTTGCTGGGGGCCTGAGCCCAGAACGTCGGTGTGCCCGACAATGGCCTAACGAGGGATCATTCCTCGCAATACTTATCAGATTCACTTGGTTGTGAGTTGCTTGTTTTGTCTCTATTTCTCGTTGGTGGTGAAGTTTCTGCACAGGTTGTTGGCCGTAGTGTGCCTTCCCAGACCCCTGCACCCCTGCACTTAGGTATAAAAACACAAAGGGTCTGGATATCCAGGTCCCAGGGAGCAGCCTCCTGGGTCTCCAAAAACTTCCCAGACGATTTTCAAAACTTGGAATCCAGCCTGTGTGCAGAGTAGTGAGGCCCATTGTCAACTGTTTGTCGACCAAAACACGATTGCCAATCATCCATCCTCGTAACTTTTTGAACTTTTTGTTTTATTTTTACACAGTTGTCTTCTCGTCTTATGGCGGACAGTTGTACTTCTTTTTAAGGTCATCCCATTGTCTTCTCTCAATATTTTCACATGTTATTAGCTGAATATATACACCAGGCCAATGAGACACTCCTAAGGGTTATGGGTGTACTAGACACTACCTACTTTACGAGCATTACTTAACACACGAATGGAAACACAGTTCAACTTCAATGACCTCCAAAAATAAGATTTTATGAGCCTGGTAGCACATGAAAACATGTTTCTTGACTTATGGGATGAATCAATTCATAAAAAACACAGTCTTCCGGTTGCATGTCCTTGTACCTGTAAAACAGAATTGCAAGAAAGTTATTGTTAAGTACTGCTAAATTTAGAAACAACCAGTAAGGTCACAAGGTAGGCTACCAGAGACGTCCATATGCGGTCAGTTTGACCAATCTAGGGAAATCTGTAAGTGCTGGCCGCCCAAGGTGCCCCAACAACAGCAAAAAAACAGTTTTTTTTTTTGTTTTTTTTTTTTTGCAGTGGGGTAATTTTTATCCCCACAGAGAGTAATCCATATCCTGGCTTAATTTGGAATTGGGTATCTCACGAAACGGTGTCACATCATTTAGTTTTTTTTTTTTTTTTAATCCAAACACAAATTCGGGTTGATTCATACAAACTCTCTTTGGGACCGTTGTCTGAGAGACGAAAGTGACCACCCATTGTCTCTGAGACTAGGGGGCAGAAGATGGATTTCCTGGCTCAATCATGCAACTTCAAAGCTAACTCACATATTGCATGAGCAAAGGATGCACTGGATCAGAAAAGAGCTCAATAGTTGTTTCAAGCGGTACTACTGCTAAGATGAGAAACTGCAAATAATCCCCACAAGCATACCGGATTGAGAACAAGGCCCAAAAGGGCCTTGCAACTCTCTTTATGCCCACGTGACGAGTGTGGGGAAGAGAAGCTCAACATCCAACCAGCAAAGTCTCTGTACTCGAGCCATGCGCTTTCCTTTATGAAAATAAGTTGCAAGGCCCTTTTGGGCCTTGTTCTCAATCCTCGAAAGGCGAGTCCAGGGCGGCACATGCTGAGTCCAGGGTGTGGATCTAACAGTTGGCAGACTTTAGACTGCATACATCAGTTACTGACATCAGATAAAAAATCAATAATATTTCATTCGACTATGGTTATATAGTACCGAGGAACACAAACATTTGTTATACAAAAAATATATGTTGAATAATGTTTGACTCTAGTTGACTCACCTTGCCAAAAAGTCACCTTGTTGCATGACAACATATTCGAAACCTCAAAGTGGTGTTGAGAGCTGATATGCAAGTATGACTGGACATTCCAACCTCTGATTTGCACTGACATATGCAAGTGCATCATCTGCCCTTGAAAATGTTTGCACCGTCTTTCCCAATGAATTTGAGCCCTATGAAAAGTATACAAAATTCAAATTATAAGTCATTGCAGTGATTCAAAAACAACAAGTTAATTTAAACATGTAAATGTCCAGAAAATAACTGCAAGAGGTCACATTCACAGTGGGATATTCACTCAGAGCAGATATAACATCTTGCCATTACTAGAACCCATGCAGTCTGTCGAGGAAGGACACTTGGCAACACTCACAGCTTATAATGATCACTGATGACTCCTGTGGCCATCATTTCAGAACAACATTAAAACAAAAAACGAGGGGAGTGTGTTCCTGATTGTACATGTATGCAAGGCAAGAGAGAAAGAGCTGACGGTGACTGTTCTTAGGCGTAAAAAATCATTGAACACGGACAGACTGCAGCCTATGAGAACAACATCAATGTTGGTATGGGTAAGAAGATGAGTGACAAGTTGTCTAAGATTCACAAGCTTAACGAGTATAAAGGATGTTGGAAAATACCCATCTTGATGCTGCGCGTTCAACTTGTTCAAGGACAATCTCCCCCGATTCATCCCAAACCTGAGAATTTGGCTCTTCATCGTCCTGTAGACAATTCAATTATTATGTGGTTCCACAAAGTTAAACCATAGATGACTCGTTGTAAAAATTTGACCACATTCAAATCTTAACATAACAGGCGCTTGACTGCAATTAATAAAATCGACAATTGGTCATGCTTTTTCCAATTTGTACGATGTATCATGAATAGTAATGAACCCTGGAAGAAAAAATTGTTATACTATAAGTGTAGATTCACTGCAAAGATGACCAAGTACCTCAATTCTTTCTTCGTCATTCTCCAGATTTTGTATCTCACAAGCTTGCTGCTCATCATCACCCTCAGCATCATTTGCACATTGTTTTCCCAATTGGGGGATTCCGAAAGTGTGTTTTATGAACTTGATTTTTTTTGTTGAGCGTTCTGTCACTTGTCATGAAATGAAGAGATGATTCACTCAAAGGAAAACATTAACCAACAATAGCATCAACAATCCAAATCAGACAAAGATTATGTCAGCTGTGATGAAAAATCAACAGACAACTAGCTTTCCAAACCGGGCTTCCGGCTTGGCATTCGGGCGCCTCTTGCGCCGGGGCAAAAAAGCCCACAATTGTTTTACCCGTTCCAGTTTTTTCTCATGGTCAACATGTTTTTTTTCAGTGTCTGGTAGGTCCCATTTTTATTTTAATTTATTTTATTTATTTTTTAATGCTGGCTATTGATCTGTGTCAATCGACGACGCATGTTGATCCAGGATTTGAATTCGAATCCAGGCCCAGTGTTGCATACTCCAATGAGTATGGGCAGAACCAAGAATCAACCAATGTAGGATGAGTATAGATGCAACGGAAGTCTGATAAACGGACTGACTCAC